AATAATAATAATATTTAAATGATTTAAATCATATTTTAAATCATTTTTAATCATATGTAAAAGCCATTCAAAGGGATAATGATATGATCCAGATGAGCTCTCCTGCATAGCTGGGAATGTAAGCTGAGAAGTACTTTCTCAAGGCCAACAGACCACCCCCCCAACCCCCACCCCCATTATCTGGGTAACTTCATTTGACTTATGTGATAATTGCTGGGAAGTTCTGGTGAGAACTCAATGGAGTCATGCACAGAAAGTACTTTTTACACAGTAGGTATTCAACAAAATGAAATAATACCTGGTAAAGGCAGGGAACCTCATTATCTCCCTCTTGGTCTGAAACAAGGGCTGGGAAACTTTCTGTAAAGAGGCAGAAAGTAAATATTTTAGGCTTTGTAGGCCATACTGTTTCTGTGCAAGTACTCAGCCATGCCAAAAAAGTAGGCACAGACCATCGGTAAATGAAAGGTTGTGGCAGTGTTCCAGTAACATCTATGGACACTGAAATCTGACTTTCATATAATTTTCATGTGTCATGAAATACTGTTGATTTTTTCCCCCAACCATTTGGAAATATAAAAATCATTCTTAGCTCTGCGTTGTACAAAAACAGGTTGCAGGCCAGACTGGCCAACCCCTGGGCTAATAACAGTCCTTTTCTACTTTATGTTGTAATCTATTTTTATAAGTCCCATTCATCACATATGGTTACCTTACTGAAAAATAACCCCCAAAAATGTTCATTTAAAAACACTTCTCTTCCCACAATCCAGAACAATTTTACTAAATAGTAAGCAATTTCCTTTTCAATTATTTTAATTACAAAATTAATCAAAGATATTGCAGTAAGTCTCTGGCCCTGATTTATGTACCTGGTGAGCCAAATATACAGGAAGACTCAAAGTCTGCCACACAGCCAACGAATCCACTGGCTGACAAAGTTACACATTTATTTGAATATATTCCTCCAACGTCTCCAAGCATCAGTATTCTAGATGTCTAAAAAATAACAGGGCATTTATACTGTTAATAGAAAACAGATGGGCACATTCAAATATTAAGTAATTAGAATGTTGTATAAAACAACCTAAAAACTACAAAGCAGGAATTAACTGTCAGTGTGCTGCCTGTATGATTCTTGACAGGGCCTGAGCAATGTGTGTTACTAGGAGGCGGGCCTCAGGGACATGGGTGGTATGATCCAGGCCAAATACAAGGAGCTCCAGGACTGGCTGTGGTCACTCTCCTGGGCTCAGTGAGGAGTGCTAAGTGCTGGGTGGGTTCAGGAGCAATTGCCTCCAGCACTGATTTCATTCACACTCCAGCACTGATTTCATTCACGCTTTCCTTCCACAACCGGGAATATCCAGACTGTCAGTGGTTTCTGCACACAGAGAGACTGGGACAGGAAAGAGCTTCATCTGTGTCTTCGGCCAGGAACAGCCCTTATTCCTTTTCCTCAGGATATCGGAGGGTGGGAGATATACCCAGAGAAGCCTAGAATTTTCTTAATCAGTTTTTCTTTTAGTGACAGGAAATACCAGTCATAGGGTGTTTTGTTTGTAAATGATGAACTGTGGAAACCCTTACTGGATAAAAGATGCCTGAAATTCAAGGCCTCATGCCTCTTCCGTAAGATCGATTGGCAATTATGGAAATTCTTCCTTTTGAGATTACTGTGGTGAAAGTGCTTTGGCTCTTCTGGAGGTGAAGCAGCAGCACCTCCTGAAGACAGAGTGAGCAGGCTGCAGGGGACAACCACACTCAGGCTCGAGGGGGCAGACAGCTGGGCACCGCCATCTTGGCCAAGCCCCTGCCAGATGCCCAAGGAGGGCTCTGCTGCTCATAATAATAAGACTAATATTAACAGCTCCTGTACTACCATCAGATTTTCAAATTTTTTTGCAAACATTTTTGCTTTCTCTTATGCTCACAATACCTCATCGAGCTAAGTAAAGAATATAGAGAAACTCCACTCTACATGGGGGATGGGGTTGTTGATTGGCATGTCCATGGGACAAAGCTACTGCTTGGTGAAGGACCCAGGTCAAGCCACTATGTGTGCACCTTCCACTCAACCAAGCTGTTCTGCTGTTAACTTTACACTTAGGCTCTTTTCCTAAAGGAAAAAATGGAAAACAGGACAGAAATGGAAAGATGATCTTTAAGCTGTAAATTTAGGACGATGAGGACTTCAATATTAAAAACTGGTCCAGAATCAGGGAGAGGTGTGCCTTCATTCCTCACCGAAGCACCGGCAATTCTGTGCTATTTCAGAAGTCTTAAAAATGATGAATTCAGCAAACAACTCCAAATACTTAGCAAGTGTCTTCAGTGCTGTGCCCCTCTGACCAGCCTGTCGGTCATACTCCGGGTTCTCCTCTGCAGGAAGGTCCCCTCTCCTCTGGGTCTAAGCGCCGCAGCCACATGAGAGATGCTGAGTCAATGCCCAGGCAGGCACCAGCCTTGGTGATGGGGCCACTGGGGTCAGTCTGTCTCCCGCTGCCCTTTGCTCGAGGTAGACGGCGCTGTGCTGGTTCCCGGGGAGTCCGCAGCCACAGGTACGTGGCACCTACACGTCCCTTGTTAGGTAAGGGGAGGGGTAGGAGTCACATCTGCTTAAGATTAGGAGGACTAGATGAACTTTAAAAAATTAATAATTCAGATACCCTACAGGTTTATTTAAAATAATGGATGGCATGTCCCCATATATGTAGGGAAGCTTCCTTTTTATATTTTAAAGAACTAAGAATCCTACAAGCCTCCAAAACACACATACTTGAGCTCCAGATACTCATCAATGCCATACTTGGAGCCCTCTCGCCCAAGGCCAGACTGCTTCACCCCGCCAAACGGGCACTCCACAGACGAGATCAGTCCTTCGTTCACGCCCACCATGCCAACTTCCAGCCGTTCTGCCACCCGCCAGATCTGGGCTGGGTCTTGAGAGTAAAAATAACCTGTCACAGGGGTAAAGGACACAGATGGCATGTAGAATAGTCATTAAAAATGTCATTTCTAAAGCTGAGGACATCACCAACAACTGTCTGCCTAGTCACTAGGGCCTGGAATCCACCCAGCTCCCATATAGAGCCCCAAGTTGGTCGCGTACATTTTTCACCTCAAAGCCCTTGGACACTATCTTTCTGCTTCTTTTGCACTCTTGCTAGTGCTCTCACCATCTCCTCTCAGGACTGTAACCATAAGCTCCCAGCACCTGTGATCTATTCAATCAGTCCTGCATACCTCTGTTGGATTACCCATGTGATACTTCTTTCCAAACCTTCCAGTGACTCCTTGTCATCTATGAAATAAGATTAAGTTCCTAGTGGGCATTTACACTCTCCCTAAAGTGGTTTCAGTCAACACTTTCAATATTACCTTCCATTACTCCAGTCACCAACCATCTTCTCCAAACTCATCAACCAAATTCTCCTTTTCTTTCTTACTTCTTAACTCCCTTGGTACCACGGCCCAGAATCTTCCTGCAATCTCTGCACAATCAGAATCCTGCCCATATTTATGAGGTAGGTAGCACAGGGTGTGGCTTCCTCTACCATCATCCCATCACACAGGGAAGAAAGGAACACTGACTAAGTGTTACGGGGGCACTTGTGCACACACTGTGACCCAGCTTCATGATAACTTTGAGTAGGCAGCATGGGGTAAGGGACTCCACAGCACGCATATCCTACCTCTTATTATAAATAGTTGTCTTATGCCTAGAGGTGAAGCTCCTATAGAGCTATAGCTATATCTTTATGTGTTTGTGTCTTCCTCAATACTTCACTCGCTGTGGATGCTAAATATACATTTGAGTGCATTTGTGCACATACAGTTTTGGCAGGGTGAAAAGGTACATAGTGTAGCCACCGTTCTTTTAGTTTGGAAATGGTCAAGAATGCTCTCTGCCCAGTCTGTGCTGTCTCTCTGTTCAGCTCCAGGAGCCAGGCAAAATCGGAGAAGCACTTGGAATTTCCAGGCATCAAGTCCCTGAGAACCAGGGACTTACAGGTGTGCGCAATTCTCCACCTAGAACAATCGGCACTGTCTCTCCTCCCACCACCTCCATTGCCCCTCGGAAAGCAATGGACCTGTGTTCCGGTGAAGTGTCGTTCTCAAAGCCCAGGGCTGTGTCTAAAAGAGCACTCCAGCATCAGCCTGAGAAATGTTATGACTGCCACTGAGCCAGGATGGACACCTACCTGCTAACCCAACGTCAGTCGCATTAGCAATCGCCACAGCCTCCTCCTCTGAGTCGAACCTGCCAAAGTTAATATGGGACATCAGCAGAATCTGTAAAGGGGTGTAAAGAACACAAGCTGTCTTTTCTGCTGATTTTCCCCAATAATGGTAGGAGGTAAACTGGAGTTTTGCAAAGAGATCCCAAAGCAGAGTACAGAGGAACATGGCATCACTCGCTATGATGACTCAGCATTCAAGGCCAGTGTGCTCGAAGCAACCCAGCTCACCTCTTCTAAGAGAGCAAGAGACAAGCAGGCTGACGTGCAGGGAACTGTGGCATATCCACAATGTCAAACAAAATGCCTTAAAAAATGGGTCAGTGCTGTTGTTACCTACTAAGAATACATACCAGTCATAACAACTACTTTAGAAGCAAACATATGTAGTAAAAAGTAAACCATCCAGAGGCAGTCAGGCCCGGAGTTCAGCTCTACCACCTATGCTGCTGAACAGTGTGAGGGCGCTGGGTCTGTTCCTCTCTGAAAGCAAGTGTGGTAGGATCAAAGCCCCATGTGGGCTCTTCCAGCTTTATCATTGTATTTCTGGAACAAGATTTGAGTGGCAATTTCCTGTTGCCCCAGAATTGTAACTGGGGCAAAGTGTTCTAAGCACCCTAAATGCCAGTAATGGGGGCCACCATGTCTCTGGGGGGCACTGGGAAGAACTGGCTGGGCTCCCCTGGGCCCCACTTGATACACGGGGAATTCTGGGAGAGAAAGGCAGCTCTGGGGAGGGAAGGTCAAGGAGGGTGGCCCTGAGAGAATCACTTGTGCAGAGGATGACGCTGTGTCTCCTAGAGCCATTCAATCTGCTGGAAAATGGCATTGCCAATGTCCTACTCTGCACCCATCCCTCAGAGATACAGTAACGACATTATGCGTTGCAGTGTCATTGAGGATCTTCACCTTCCGGGTGCACATGCTAACATCGGAGCTGTGTGGGAGACGAGAGTCCACTGGTAAGAGCTGAGTCCCCTCCTGGCCCTGAGTCTTTAGTGTACAACCACCACCATGATATCGGGGTCTGCGCTAATCGCTTTGTGCACGTCATGTTATTTAAACTCTCACTTCCCCTGGGCAGCAGGTACTGCTTGTCTCTCTTGCCCACATGAGGGTCCTGAGGCTCAGAGACGTTAAGTTGTTCAGGGGACACAGGTGTGAAGTAGCAAAGCCTGATCTGCATCTGATTCAGCTCCAAAGCCTGCATTCCTAGCTTCCGTATCCTTCTGGTTTCCTGAGAAACATCAAATTCAGATAAAAATTTTCACTAATACAAAGATGATGAAGTTCTTCAAGAGGCATCTCCCCAGTGGCATAATAATTATCAACCTCATTAGCAAGATGGTAACAAAGCTGGCAAATATGTGATAAGAAAGGTTACTGTCTTGGACAAGATGGCACAGGCAGCCCAGCTGCCAGCTCTCTCTGGGAACCTGATGTCAGAGGAAAAAGAAAATCATGGCTCAAAAATCCCATCAGCAGCTAACACCAAAAATGCACGACACCTGTAGAGGCCAAGATGTGATTGGTTGGTGGTTGGATCTTGGGAGAAATGACAGCCTCAAGTGGGAGAGCTAGGGGCCACCCATGGAGGGGTTGGGCAGGGCCAGGGCTCTATGGAGCCTGAGGAGGTGGGGCTACACCGCCTTCATCACACCTGTGAATTTCAGGTGATGTTGCTTACAGCCTGGCTCCCTAGATTAATGCTATTTTGCCTCAGGGCAGAAAAGTAGCAGGGCCAGCTTAAGGTAGCAGGGACCAGGCAGTGCTTCAGCCCAGCTGGCTTAGTGAACCATCCAGAACAACCACAGGCCTCTTCTCCCCAACTCATTACAACAGCGGTAACTGCAACATGCCCCAGGGGGCAAAGGATACCTGGGGCAAGGGGAGTGGTAGAGAGACTGGATTTTAATATTAGAGTCTCCTTCCCGGAGGCTCAACCTTCTGCCCACCAAATGTATCAGAAGGATCACAAACTAAAGGCTAAGATTTTTACCACAGTCCCAAGGAGGATGTTACTACTAGCCAAGGCTGCTAACCATTCAAGGGGCTGAAGATGAGTTACAGGAAAATGACAAGGCATCTGAGAATCCAGGACTAAGAGCAATAACAAACAGAACAACCTGTACCAGAGGAGGCAGAAATAGTGGAAGAGAACAAAGGTACAGAAAAAGGAGATCACTCTCCACCGCAAAATAAGGGAGTATAATGAAGCGGAAAGAATCCGTTATGGGGAAGAACCACTGGAGAGATCAGGGATGAAAGAAAGAACTGTTGCGATAAAGAACATAGTGGATGTGTTGGACTTCAGAATGGGTGTCCGGAAGAGTGAAGTACTGGGCTGGCAAGAGGAGGAGGAAGTGTCTCAGGAGGCACTAGGAATGGAGGAAGAGATGGAATGAACCAACAAGCGTTAAAGAGCAGTGGAAAACGGAAGTAGATGTATCTCTATAATAGACTCCTTACAAGGCTGGAAAAAGATACATGGAAGGAGAGAAGTATCTGGAGAAATAACAACCAGAATCTCCCAGGACTAAACAAACACTTTAGATATTAAAGGAAGACATGAGATCCTCAGAAAAAGCTCACGGTGTGCCATACCAGTAAAATTTGAGAACGTCAAAGACCATGAGAAATTTCAAAAATCTCCAATAAGGAGATCCCTTTCTATGGAACAGGAACCAGACATCAGCTTTCTCAGGATGTAAACAGATAAAAGAATGATCTTTTCAGTGTTGAAGCTAGAATTTTATCCAGATAAATTATTATTTACTTGCAAATGTGAGATAAAAGACCATATAAGAACACAGAAAATTCATTTCCCACAGACTTCCTTGAAAGAACTCTTGGTGGATGTACTCTGTGAAGAAGAAAAATGAGTTCAGCACAAAGCAAAAAGAAAGCAAAGTAACGAATTTGGTAAATTTTGTGGTCTAAGTAGGCAATAATAAGAGATTTAAAAAAATTATAAATGGAGCTTGCCTCTTTAATTGACACAGCACAACTCTCTGCCTCTCTAACCCATCCCCTCCCACAACCAGGCCTAAAAAAAGCACATGAACTGGATTTCTCTCGAGGTTTCCTTTTCTTTTCCAATTCTTTCTCCTGTCTTCCTACCAGCTAGATGATCTTACTTGATAACTGGTGCCAGAGGCCCGAAAGTCTCCTCATGAACGCAGAGCATATCCTGGGTGACATTGCTGAGCAGGGTAGGCTCAAAGAAATGTTTTCCAAGTTGATGCCGCTTCCCGCCTGTCACAACCGTGGCCCCTTTGGAAAGTGCGTCACTCACGTGTTTCTCTACCTGTGTGACGAGAAAGAGAAGACCCCTCGGGAAAGCTGGTTAAGGATACCTTGGGAGATGACACAATCTCTCAACATGTTTAAACTGCAGAAAACTGTAACTAATTTTCTTTCTTTCTCAAATAGGTTGAAAACAATGTACCCCAGTTCCTTTGGCTAGAAAGAACCAAATATGCAGAGATACACAGGCAGTAAGAGGGTGCGTGGTGGTACAGTGCTGGCCCCTCCCTGCTTTGTGGTTTGTGGCTGTCTTACCATTCATGGACCCGTCTGATATCACTGCTGTCTTTCCAGGCCTGGTGCTCAGCTGTTTTCCTGGATTTTGCTCTCCCTGCACTCTTAGCTGTGTTCCAGGATCTGGGATCCCATGTTGCCCTCTTTCCTGGACTTTGCTTTCATTTTGTTCTCATACATTCGCCTCAAGTAGTTGTTCTGAAAAGGTTGCACTGAAAGCGGTTTACTTCCTGAACTTTCTGACCTTGTATGTCTGATGTTTTACCTTGTACTCCATCTGATTGATAATTTGGTTGGTGATAGACTTTTGATCCAATAATTTTCCTTCAGAACGCTGAGGGCACTTCTCCACTTCTAGTGTTGTTGATGAAATGTCTGATTCAATAAGGCTTATCATTTCTTTGTGAGTAGCTTTTCCCCCTCTGGAAGCTTGTAGGATCTTCTTTTGTATTCCTGACATGCTAAATGTTTTTTGTTTTGTTTTTTTAAATTCATTCTACATGACAATTGGTGAAATCTTTTAATTCGAAGAATTATTTCCCCCCCAGCTCTAAGAAGTTTTTTTTCTATTATTTGTTTAATAATGCCATTTCTCCCCATCTTCTCAATTCTTTCTCTCTACAATAGCACTCCTATTACGAAAATGGATATCCTCCGTCACCTCAATTAATTCTGATTTCTTTTTGCATTTCTGCCATGTTTTTCATCTCTTTGTCTTAAGAGACCTCCTTGATTGTCTTCTGTCTTCATCTACTAATTTAAAAAAATTTGACCATGTGTTTAATTTCTACAAACTCTTTCTTGTTCTACTTGTTTCATTTTCATAGAACATGCTTCTGTTTTACAGATGTACTGTTGTCTCAAAACTCCTGGAGGACACTCTTAGATTCTTACAGAATTCCTTTGTGTTCCCAGATTCATCTGCTTCCTTGAGAGTAGCTGTTCTGTTTGTTCTTAATGGACCCTTCCTCTCACGTGCTGAGCGTTTGTCGTGATCCTTGATGGTTCATATTTCTAACGAGGGACTGGGTCGATAACTTAGGTGGGTGGCATGGGTGGCCTTTGCTGTTTCCAGTCTCCTCCCTGAATGAGAGGGATAACCACAAGCTCGTATTTATTCTGGCTTGGCAGACTTGTGGGAGAGCCCTGCTCTGTTGCACCTCCCTCACTCTCGAAGCAGCAGCCCTCGTCGGTAGGCTACCTGGAGCAAATACCTCTGCTGTCTTATGTATACCAATGGTGGTGGTGGGAAGTGGTGTGGGAATAACCCAGAAAACTGCAAAAGTTTAACCAGTCAGTGTCATTTCTCCCATCCTCCCATTCCTACCTTCTATCCCAGCCAATTCTAGAAAGGCTCCGTCCTAAAAAATGGTACCATTTCCTCTGCAGGACTCCCCTTGGCATGCTGCATCTGCTTTGACCTTTTTGTCCACACAAGCCCTTCTGTCTTCCAGAACTTTATCACAGTCTTTGGTGTCCTCTGGAGTCCTCCCCTCCTCCCATTCTCAGCTGAATGTTCTATAGCATTTCAGAAGCGATTGATATAGGCTTGGGCACATTTTGCCATCCATTCTGCCTCACACCCTACAATGCTCTCATAGTCCACTGTCTGCAACAATCCCATTAGCCAGGATGGTTTACTTTCTATGATTTACATCTCTAATAATAGTTATATTTAACATACTTAACAGGGGCCTACCTCTTTGTCCCCAAATAGAATCTTCTCTGTTCTCTTCTTGTCATATTAAATATGATATGCAGTTTTTCCCCCTGGAATTAAATCTATCACTGTATGTACACTAAAGCCAACATAATGGAGTGTTTTCAGACAAGGTGCTTTCTATTAATTCTCCACCAAAAAAAAGAACTCCTTCAGCTGTAGTTGCTTGAAGTCCTGGGAAACAGCGCCCTCTAGAGAGCAATGTCTGCATCTTCACTTTGGGAAAAAAAAAAGGATTCTCTAGGACAATGGTTTCCTGGCCTGGCTTTAAACTAGCATTATCTGTGACACTTCAAAAATACCAGTGCCTCTGCTCTACTCCAGACAAAATCACACCCCAATCTCCTTGGATGGGACCCAAGCATCTGTAGTTGTTAAAGGCACAGAGTGAGTTGAAAACCACCACTCTGGGATGTACAGATCCAAATTGTCTTCACTGGCTGAGCGAGTCCCTAGGCTCCAAAGTCACCTCAAAAAAGCAGATGGTACCAATATAAACTTTAATGTATGTTCTCTATCTAGAGTGAACCCAAGACAATAACTAGAGACTTAGCAGAGCTCTCAAACCTCAGTGCTTCCCTTGGTTTCTACTGGGGAAGGCAACAGCCATCTTTCAGCCCTGGGTTGGGGCAGCCACTCCAGGGCATGGCCCTCAGCAGGCCGATAAACAGTGGTCAGGCTGTGCTGCCCACCGCGGCGCTGAGCTGGCTCTAACTTGATTCTGGTTCCTCAGGTGACACCCAGGAGGCTGGCTACGCCCCCTTCTGGCCACCTCTCCCACACTCAATATCCAGCCTCCATTTTCTGTCTGATATAAATTATTCCATTAAAATCCTTTCTACTAGCAGACACTTATCTAGGGAGCATATTGGATGTCTGGTATTATAAGAAAGTTCCTTATGAGTAACTCTGAAAAGCATTATTTAAAAAAAAAAAAAAGAACAAGGAGTGAAATTTCAACTAGCTAGTAGGCTAGATTGTGACATTTTTTTAAACACATTTTTCCTAAAAGCAGTTTCCCTTTTCCGTTGTCATCTCTAAATCTTCAGTGTGGCCTCTGCAATTCTACATCTCGCTGCCAGGATATTTTTGTCAAAGATTCTTCTGGAGGGGCATTTTGTTTTCAATGCCAGCCAGCATTTCAGCTAAAACATAAACGATCTCAAAAACAAAGCCGGTCTTCCTTTCCTTTTAGGTGTTCAAAAAATTGAAGAACTTTGTATTTCAAGATCCTAATTCCTGAGGCAGCAAGGGATGGAATTTAAGAGTAAATTTAGGGAACATGGTGAAGATCTAAAGTGATGGATCTCATGGGGACTCTGTCCTGAGAGAGTTGTAAAAGCCTATGACAAGATGATGCCACAGGACTCATACAAATTGGCAGAAATGCACTTTTTTATGACTTCTCCATTGTTTTCAAATTACTCTTGCTTGGGTACATTACCAAAATGTTTTTTGCTGGTTAAGCTTCTGATATCAAAACCATGACATTTAACAGATAATAAAACAAACTTACCTTTTCTACTGCTTTTTCGTTAATTAATGGGCCTTGAGTAGTTTTCTCTTCAAATCCATTACCCACATGCAGGTTTGTTTTAATTGCCTCAGCAAATTTTTTCACAAAGGAATCATGGATACCCTTTTGCACCAAGAAACGGTTTGAGCAAACACAAGTCTAGACAAGAAAAAAACAAATTCTGGTAGACAGTTTGTTGGAAGCTACTGACCCAACCAATAAACGTGTGACCGCTGCTCCTCCCTCTGAGTGTAAAAACACTTCTCAAGGCATCCTCATCAGGTATCCAGCTTGCTCTTTTCCTCCCCAGGTGGGCTTGGCCCTAAAGATAAGTGCACTGAACAAGCGCACATTCCTCTCCAACCCCCTGCGTAGCTGCCATACCTCTGTGGTTAAATATGTATGCAAGGATAAATATCTGTGTGCAAAAAAAGCAAAAAAAGCCATAACCCAAGTTTTTTCAAATGGCTTGAATAAGTTGTTATGAAACAAACAGGGAGAAAAGAGCAACACAAAAAACTAACCCCCCCGAGAGGCCGTGATGTTCCACGGACAGAGGGCCAAGGCTGGAGGAACGTGGTCAAAGGCTAGCTTACATCCTTTAGCTTAAGCCTTCCAAGTGTTTGCTGAGTCTGACATTTTGAAAATGGGCACAACGTCATTCTTCCATGTTAGCCCTAAATTACTGAAAGGACCCTTGCTTATTTTTTCTAATTAGACCTAATATTTAAAAATTATAAAATATAACCATATTACAGGAAATAGAGTTATTACTGATAAACTTTCTTCTTGTCTTTTTTCTTAATCATGTATTTTTCTAGTGGAAACAAGTGTATAGATAATTTTGTGTCCTATGCATTTTTATTGGCTTAAAGGAACACATTCCAAAGTTGTAGCTTTATAGTGTAACTGAAGGTTTACAAACATTGACATTTTGTGTTTTTAAAAGGAAACATCCTACTCTGAAACAACCAAGCTTATTTAGGAAAAACTAACTACCAAAGGCCAAAACAAGGATGAAAACTACTCAATATATAATACTATACATTTCACCTTTTTTTACAGTATAACATTTTGGGAGTTTTTATTTTGTTTCTGGAATGAATCTAAAACTGCTTATTGATGATACTTTAAGACAAAGTGCTTAAGAATATTTTGTAAGAAGCCAGGATCCTGGCAACAGCTTGGATAGAACCGGGGAGGCTGGATCCTAGGTTCACAGTCCCAGCTCCTTAGCAGAGTTGGAAATGTGACCCAAGGATGTATGACCTCGTCAGTCTTTCTAGAGCAGTGGTTCTCAACCTGTGGGTCGCAACCCCTTTGGGGGTCGAACGACCCTTTCACAGGGGTCGCCTAAGACCATCGGAAAACAAAAAGATATTTACATTACGATTCATAACAGTAGCAAAATTATAGTTATAGAGTAGCAACGAAAATAATTTTATGGTTGGGGGTCACCACAAATGAGGAACTGTATTAAGGGGTCGCGGCATTAGGAAGGTTGAGAACCGCTGTTCTAGAGATTCATTTCCTCATCTGTAAAATGCAAGGGTTGTATCAGGTAACTTTGAAGGTCCCTGCCAGATCTAACATTCCAGGATTTCCTATGAAGGTGTGAGTGAGCTCAGGCGACCACTCTCCCAGTGACAACCTGGACACCCTGTGGGCACACTGCTAGTCCCCGGGCATGTGCCCTGCAGTGGGTGCCTATCATGCCCCCTCCACCTCGGGAAGTGTGAGACCCGGGCAGCAGGGTTTTGAGTTTTTCAAGGCACCATCTCAACATTTTCCTACTTTATTTCCTTAAGTCTATGGGCCTCAGACCCTAGCTATTCAGGCTGGCTTTTTTGTCAGAGATGATTATACCTGTTCAGTACAGAAAAGCACAATGAGGGAAAACTGTCAAAATAACCAAATTCGAATAGTAGGGGAAAGAAGAGAGAACAATTTAATTAAAAGACATCTGCTGTTGGGCGGGCCGAGTGGCGCGTTGATTTAGAGTTGGCTTGGGACGCCGGCTCTGAGCGGCGGGGCCCTGGTTCAGATCCCACATTAGGGCCAGTGACACTGCACCCTCTGCAGCTAAGATGCTGAACAATAGCTCAACCTGGAGCTGGGTTGCTGCGAGTCGCCGGTGACGGCGTAGGCTGCAGCCCCTGCTGCAGTGGGCTGCCATAAGCTACCATGTGTGGGTGGCAGGCAGAGTGAGCTGCCATGAGCGGCCATCCAATGGCCGGCAAGTGACTGCCTCACCCAGTAAGAGCACAATGATAATACGAACATGGGCCAGTGAAGCAACGTCCTCCACAACTAGACTGAAGAACCAAAGGACAGCAACTTGTCTATTCCTCTTCCCCAATTCCCCAACGCTGTTCCCCTCCCCCAACTCTCCAATAAAATCTTAAAAAAAAAAAAAAAGACATCTGCTGTTCAAAAAATTCCTTGAAGCCATGGACTCTACTTTATTTCTTTTGGGTTCCTCCAAGCCTAGCATCACCCCTGGCAAAGATAGGACACTTACTAAGTATTGGCTGAAAAAGTGAAAGAAGGAAGAATGGACAATGGAAGGAACCCAAAGGTTTCCTTCAAAGAGATGAGTAAGATTGTAGTATCTTTGTAAAATACAGACACACACAAACCCTGGAAAACACTACAGGACTCACCTGTCCAGAGTTCCTAAATTTAGATGCCATGGCCCCTGCCACAGCCTGGTCAACATTGGCACTGTCAAATACAATGAATGGGGCATGGCCACCCAGCTCCATGGAGACCCTTTTCACAGAGTTGGCTGCATGGTGCAACAGTATCTGTAAGCAGAGGACAGAATGTTGTGAGCCTTTTTTCAAAAAATTACCCAATAGTGAAAAAAGCCAGGTATACCATAGTGTATATTTGATGATATTTTGCTTAAGAAAAGGGGGAAGCAAGAATACATATTCAGGGCCGGCCGAGTGGCTCAGTTGGTTAAGAGCTCGCTCAAGAGTGTGAGCTCTGAGCAACAGCAGTTCGATGCCTCCCCCGCCCCCCGAGCTGAGCTGCCGCTGAGCTGCCAACAGGTGGCAGGATGGCTCAGCTAAGAAATATATATATATATATATATATATATATATATATATATTTATATTCATATTTCTTGTATTTGACAAAAAAAACACTGGAAAGATAATAAGAAAATAAAGTAATTAATTATAAAAGGGGAAGAGAGTAGGGACAGAGGTGAGAGTGAAACTTCTCAATGTAAACATGTTTATATTGTTTGATTTTTGAACCATGTAAGTGTATTACCTATTCAAGAAAATTATGAGAATGCTACACTAACACTAAACCTAACCCTAACCCTTTCCCTAATCCTAACCCTAACCATGTCCCTAACCTTAACCCTAACCCTAAACCTGACCTTAACCCTAACCCTGTCCCTAACCCTAACCCTGAAGTTAACACTAACCCTAACCCTAAACCTGTCCCTAATCCTAACCATAATCCTAACCCTAACCTTAACCCTACCCTAACCCTGCCCAATACCCTATCCATAACCCTAACTCTAACCCTAACCCTTCCTTAGCCCTAACCCTAACCCTAAACCTCACCCTAACCCTAAAAGAAAAAAGAAAAGAAAAAAAGAAAAAAAATTATATAATAGGCTTAAAATCATAATATAGAGATAAGTTAATAAAATCACCCAGAATTCCAGGACCCATAGCTTACCACTGATAACATTTTAAGGTATACACAACCAGAATGTGGCAATGTAGGTTTATGTAAGTTTTCTCTATCTTTCTTTCTTTCTTTTTCTTTTCCAATTCCTTGCTATTAAAAATAACACTGCAATTATTCCCTTATGTTAAATATAAGAAATAGAACTGCTAAATGCAGAATTGAAAGGGTTTTTGAAACATATGACTATTAGGTTTTAAATATCCAGTAAGAGATTTTTATGGCCAAGGAAAGATGCCTGAGGACGTTTAAGTGCCTTATTACAGGTAGTAGGTCTCTGTCTAGTCACAGCCATAGGAAAGATGGAATGACTTAGATGGTTCAGTGAGACAGACAGTAGTCACAAGCCCAAGGTTGCTCTATCTAGAAATGCCTCCCAGTGATGAATACCCTGAGGTCGTGGGTTTGTGATAGGGCTCTTGGCCAAAATTCAGAATGGCTGGAAAAATGCTTCTGTGCCAGCACTCTCTATGCCCAGAGGTCAGTGTTCTGGCAATTAAATAGTAGTAACGATCTTCTCATTGACATGTTACTATTCAACAAAGCGGTACAAGTTTTAAGATTAAACATATTTCTGTGTTGGACTCAAGATTGCTATTTCTGTTTTGAATTTTTAAGAAATGCTCTCTGCCATGCCACTGATCTTCCTGACTTTGCTCACTTTGGGTCTTTTGACTCCACGCAGCCTTGGGCACAGGACCTGTCCTGAGGCATCTTCCCTCTGCATGCACTAGCTCTATGTCCTCTGACCATGGGTTCTTCCCTTTGGTCCTCAGGACGATGGACTGAACCTGGCTTTAGCTGCCATGACCCTGCAGTCCTCCCTGCACTCCTGTCACCTTGTAAGAAATCCTTTCCATAAATCCATTCTGGTTCCCTCTGCTGACCTTCTCAGAACCTCAGCTTCCGAAGCCCTCGAGAGGGGCTGTGACTGCATGGCTCATCTCTCTATGCCAGGTCACTGGCTAGCTTATGAGTCTGTTTTCCTCAGGTCAGATGATCACTCATGGTTCAGTTCTCTGTGTGGGAAGAGACGAGGTGCTATGTGCTTTAAACATGGCTGCTATGTCCTCAGCAGCCCCAGAGGGGTGGTCTCCCTAGAAGGGTGTGAGGGCGGGGTAGGCATCTCTGGAACAGGCTCACTGTCTGGGGCTCAGTTAAAGGCAAGATTCTGTCTGAAGTTCAGGAGCTCAGCCACTGATTCTCCATCAAGATCAGCTCAGAGGAGGCCCCTGATATACAGAGTAGTTAGTTATTCCTTCATCAACGATTCCTGTCACTCTCCCTTTAAACCACTTGAAGTGAATCACTGTCCTGGGTAAATAATTTAAGAGGCAGGTTAGACTTGGAAGGAACATGGTGGGCATTGTCCTGGGGGCTGTGAGATGGTGACAGTTTGCTGAGCAATGTGAGGAAACGCACTGAGTTGCTGGCTCAGCATCTCTGGCTTCAACGGCAGAAGTTTTACAACACTTTCTCCCAGGTGTCTCCTTTTTTCTAACTACTTCCTAGTGACGTTTGAAGTCCTCTGAGGGTAAGTCTGCATTGTAAGATCCACTTATCAAGGTATATTTTATGGATCTAAAGTTCCTGCTGCTTATATGATGAATGGCAGGCTCCCAGAATGCCACTCCCTGGGTGCTACCAAATTTATGGCATAACAAAGTGATTATGTTTGGGAGTTATTAAATTGCTTTATTCCTTCCTGCTTCTCCCGGTATCTAGAAATGAATACAATTTCACAACAACTTTCAGATTAATGTTATTTTTATATGATAAGTGTTCATGTACATGTCTAGCATGAATGTTTCTATACACACACACACACACACACACCCACACACACACACTCATACATATACAAACACACACATATATATATAAAAATGTATATTAGCAGAAAAACTATACTATCTGGAGAGAAATACTGTAAGTAAAAACTTTTGTTCTACTCTGCTTTTTTGCTCTTTTGAACATTTAAAAGATAAATAAAAATTTTAAAAGGATAAATAAAGATTTACTCACAGGTACACACACGAAGATTTGGGGAAAAACATTTTCAGTTCTTTCAAACAAAGTAAAAAGCATTTTCTGTTTCTGTAAGTACCTTTATATTAAATACAATTTTTTTTTTCAGTTCTAAGACATCCATTTCAACATCAGTTGTGTGTTTTAAATCTTTAATTCTAGATTATGAAAGAAAACTGCATTCCAGAATTGAGGAAATATGATGGATAGTTTTCAGCCACTTCACATAAAACAAATAATGGAAAAAGGGATTCCCATCAAGATGGCAGAATAGGTAAATCCTGTGCTCACCTCCTCTCACGACTGCATCAAAGTTACAACTGAACTACAGAACCACCACCACTGAGAACAGCCTGAAGTCTAAATGAACTGAAGTCCTACAACTACAGACATACAAAAGAAGACACCTTGACTGGTAGGAGGGGCAGAGATGTGGAACGGGCTGGTCCCACACCCCTGTGTGACCATTAAAAATCAGGAGGGATATCTCAGCTGTGGAGGTCCCCCCCCCCCAGAGGAGCGGGGGGTCCCAGCCCTACATCAGGATCCCAGCCCTACATCAGGATCACAGGGTTCCAGTGCCAGGGAAAGACGTCCCCGTAACTTCTGGCTGTGAAAACCAGCAGAGATTGTGGCTGAGTGAGACGGAGGGTGGCTGGAGTCCCAGGCGTTCCTCTTAAAAGGTCTGCACATGGACTTACTCACTGACAGACTAACTTGCTCTGAGGTCCAGCACTGGGACAGCAGCTCAAAAGGTGCCAGAGACATATGGAGAGGAAGTGAGTTGTCTAGCTGCAGGGTGAGGGCTGGAGGTACAACTTTCACCCAGACAAAAGTACTGGCAGAAGCCACTGTTCCTTTATTAAGCTCTCCCCACTCATAGTGCACAGATGCAGGCAGCCACCATATCTAAGTCTCCATCAACCTGGCTAACAGAGTCACCCGGCCCTGGTGATTCCCTGAGGCCTGGCCCCACCCAACTTTCGGGCCCACCTCCCCAAGCTGCTTTCAGTGGCTTTTCCATACAAATGGACTGTCTTGGTTCATGCTGTGGACTTTCCTAAAATCTCAAAAATTCACAAACCCCAAACAAGCAGCATCTGGCTTCAGTGTGCCCCGTACCTCTTGCTAAGCAGCCCTAAGCCCAGCACTAGCAGCAGCTGGCCTTGGTTCATAGCTTAGCCTTTCCCAAGCATCTCCAGGGCTAGTGCAGGGGGCGGCCATCTGTGGATTGCTTTGTGGTTCATTCAGGTGGCCCCAGGCGGGGTACAGGCTGTGGCTGAACTTGGTCTACTGTAGCAGGGCCCCTCCCAGGAGGCCCTGGGGCAGGCACAAGTGGTGGCCAGCTTCAGAGTGAGCTGGAGTACCACCCGGCTGCCTCCGCAGACAACACACCCAAAGGGCAGACTGGGCAGGCAACAGAGCTCTGCTAAAGTAAATCCTGCTCTGTAGGGTCAGCCCCTGTACAACAGCTCCTCCACTGTAGTCACGGCCAGTCTTCACAACCTATCAGCCTGAGGGTTAATCCCTCCTATTGCCAACAGCAACCAAGGCTCAACTACAATAGGAAGGCACACACAACCCACACAAAGGACACAGCTGGAGTGCCTGGCTCAGGTGACCAGAGGGACTGCATCACTGGGCCCCACAGGACTCCTACTACATAAGGCCACTCTACTAAGACCAGGAGACATAGCAGCTCTACCTAATACATAGAAACAAGCACAGGGAGGCAGCCAAATGAGGAGACATGTCCCAAATGAAAGAACAGGACAAACCCCCAGAAAAAGAATTGAACAAAATGGAGGCACCAATCTACCAGATGTAGAATTCAAATCACTGGTTATAAGGATGTTCAATGAACAAAGAGATAGAAAACATAAAAATGGAGATAGAAAACATAAAAAAGAACCAGTCAGAAATGAAGAATACAGTAACAAATAAGAAATACATTAGAGGGAATCAACAGTTGATTACATGAAGCAGAGGATCGAATCGGCAATTTAGAAGATAAGGTAGCAGAAAATACCCAATTAGAACAGCAAAAATAAAAAAGAATCCAAAA